GATTTCGGAAGCACTCGAAATGTGCGCACAGTCGAACGATGGCAGTTCCGATGAGTGAATCTTAAAATACGCTTACGCCTTATTACCCTTCCGGTCAAGACCCCGGATGCGAACGTCGGCAGAGCGAACCCTCTGATGTTATTCTCACTTTTCACAACAGTTATTTTTACATAATATATATCTATATGATGTATCCATTATATTATATAATAAATCACCGGCTCGGGCAGTCAATGTTCTGAAAAATCGCCGCCTCTCCGCACGAGCCCGGTTTTGCGCGTCGCAATAATTTTCCTCTTCGCGTTTCTATATCTATACAATATAATATTATTATATACATATATTATTATTATTATCCCGTCGGACATCTCTATCTACTGGACCACTTGTATGTGTATTATATACGCACATGGTATTATACTGCACGCGGTCGTTATGTGTTATTAAGTCACGTATATAGGTACATATATTATCGTTTTACACACACTCACAAACGGCGGCGTCGTCGTCAGTCGTGACCAGTTTCGAACACGTAAAGCAAAATCCGCGAATGCTTGTCAATTATTTACTTTGAGTTGTGTCCGTTCCGCCACATGCGTGTCATAGTTCAATATGTATTATCCCGGCGAACATATAATATTATTATATTCCCATCATATATAGATATGTAGGTGATCAAAGTCACGGTAATAATGATAATAATAATAATATATAAACGTCGTTGCAGGACACGGGGTGAAATATAATATATTAAGCCAGGTCCACAGGTTTCTAGTTATTGTCTAGTTTCTGTTTTTAAAAACATTTTAATTGTCCCGTCAGTGTTGAGAAAAGTTGAGTAAATGTTTTGTCTTGTTTTCTTGTCCTGGGTAGACCTAATGCCGGGTATAATGCCAAACTCAATGTATCCTAGAGTCCAGGGAGTGATCCTTCTTATGCATGTACCTATAGGGAGCTGTATATAATCTATATTATATTATATTTATTATTAACTGAACAATTCTTCGGTGATAAAAATACTGTGAAACCAAATTATTATTGTCATCAGATGTAATCGGACTATACCGTTTAGTAATAGAACATATTTCTATATTATAATATGTAAGTACAAAATCTAAGTCACTGTTGTTTACACAACTGAGGCTCGGGCAGAGAGACCATAGTTTTATTATTGCTCCAATACTGCACAATCGAACTGAAAAAAAAAAAAAAAATAAGTTGACTTTTTGTATACGTATACCGCCAGCAATCCGTTTAAATTCTGAGGATGTACGTGTGGTTTTAACCTCATTTCCAAACGCGAAGGAAGAGAAAGGAGATAATAGTGCTTAACGCTCCTGACGCTCCTGAAATATAATATAGAAGATTAAAAGGAGAACCAATCCAGCGCACATAATATTTTAACTGTCACACAAAATACCTATGTCGTATATGCTTACGATAGTATTATTATGGTTGACTATACACACTTTGTGTACACGTTATAATATGAAGGTTCCGTCGTGTCATGAAAGAAAACATCATTCTTAGGGAAACAAAAATAGGCGTACGAAAAACATAATTTCTAACACTGCACCGGCCTGCATTATTGTGGAAGGGGACTGATATTCGTACGGTTTCGCTGCAGTTAACCCCCCTCCTCAAAACACAAACACTCACACGTGTAGCAGGTGCTATCGACGTGCCAACAAAAAACGGTCTGAGTATTATTTTAAAAATATATAGAAACCAGTGCGCGTGACGCCATCGCGCTGCTGCAGTGACTACTATTATAATATAATATTATTATATTATGTTTAAGCGTTGGACTGCAAAAATGAAACCCAACATCTGTCTAAAAAGATATTTCGATATGTTAACGCTTATACAATATTATTATGTTATTATTTATTTACGGTTTGTTATGAAAAAACATAATTTATTAAATGATTAACCGTGGTCGGTATATAATATAAATACACTCTATACTCGACCTACCTCAGTGTACGTTTCCGTAAATTCTCTTTCAGTAAATTATACAAATATATATATGTATTATATACCTACATATATAATATATATGACGTACTTACTGCACAGCGACATCGCTAAAATTATACTATCAATAAATCTTCCGAGCTGCAGAAAAATATTATGATGTTTTATGCGCTGTTTTGAATAAAATCGCGCGTTTACATATTATTCATATACACACAGAACACATGTAAATTATTTTCGGTGGGTTGGAGAGGTTTTTTTTCTTTTACACATTTATTACCGTAATAAATCGATTCGTACTTGAGTCTGTTTCGGTTGTACGACTTACCATCGGACCTATAATATATAATTGTCGTGTTCTCTGCAGTATGTTGGGCTCTCGGAATAGGTCAAGCCACGCGCATGTAAAATACTGAGCTCGAAAAATGTCTAATGTCCGCTATGGGAATATATAGGTATTGTATATTTGTATGCATTATCAAATTACGGTCGACCCGATGGGTTCGATAAAATTACTTTCGTCGTTAATCCTAATCCTAATCCTCTTGGCTGGATATTATGTCTCATCGTCCCGACCGAGGTCATCCACACGAGAAACTCAGGATGTTAGATAGGTATATAATTATAGTTGTATATATTGTATACTCTAGAATATAGTGTATGATTTGTGGTGTCACGCTAGAGCACGTCTGGGTCTCCGAAGACCTTTCCGTAACCGTGTTACCGGTTGATTATCAGTATATTGTTATCAATAATAACAATAACACTGTGAACGCGTTCGGTGACTCGGAAGTACAAAATTTACTTTTCCCGATAAATGTCCACTGTTTTAATGCATCTATGACATTATGAACGGGTCACCGGCCACAGAAACAATTTATCGTAATACGAGCTCACGTTACCTCGTTCTGATATTGTACTTAAGAGAACATGTAATATTATAGTATTACGATACCTATTTTATTATATACCTACTCACGTGAATATATTATTACTATACCGTAACGGTTTTTTATTTTTCGTTTGTATATTATACTATAATATGTATGTATATATATGCCAGCCTTACAAACAATAACAGCGTTATATTTAAGTGTACCAAATCAATGTAAAGGGTAAACACTGCCAATGGCCATAGTCGCGGGTGAAAATATACCGGAAATAATGGTTTATGGTGTAAACCCGATGTTAATCAATAATCCCTACTTCAATATATACATTTATATATAATAATAAGCGTCCATTGTGTTTATTTTATATTTACAGCCAAGTTATAAACACTAAAAATACAACTATTTTTTTTATGGTAGGTAAGGTACTTAACTAAATTTTTTATTGTCATTTGGACAGTAGGCGTCTCATGGGATTATAATGGAAAATAATACGCTGTGTACGTTAACACGCTATCGTATATCTTTACGACTAAAAAATATTGTCATAAAATGTCACAAAACTATTTACATAAGTTTTTCAAATGATTATCTGAAAATAAAAATCATCTATACTAACATGTGTATATTATATAATATTTACTCACCGTGTACATTATTGTCTTTAATTCTTTTAAAAATACTTAGAGGTACGTGTAAGTATAAGAACATGATGATATAGTGAACGAAAGGACTTTTATACATTATCGTGAGTATATCGAGTGCTAGTGGCTGATGTGTGTAGATACCATGACGAACTAGGAGAAATAAACGAAAGATCTATTCTAAAACGTCGTTAAAGGATAAAGTGTGAGAGTAGAAACCCTAATCATCCGACCGAAACTGTGAGTTTCGGAAATTGTTTTTTTTTTTTTTTAATGGAATTCTAAAAGAAATTGGGTTGAATGGAATAAACAAAATGTGATGATAGTTGAGTTAATGGATTTTGATTATTTTACGTTGTGTATATTCAGTTAATTATGGTAATATGTTATAACTTATAATATACGTTCATTTTACACTTGTTTGAGTGTAATTTTTTTTTTTTTTAAAACTTACCATGTGTTGGGGTTAAGATAAAATTATTATTATCAATGGAAACGTATTTTTATAATTGTGTAGGTATAATTTGTTTACTATGCATTTTAAATATTTTTTGTTAAAAATATAATATAGAAAATATATATACTAAAATCTATTGTATTAACTATTTGTTATAGCATCGTAATCAGTAATATTATTAGTTTAAACTGCGATTTAAAAAGTTTAAAAATCAATAGAGTGCATATTATACCATTTATCATTATTCATCTTATTGGATTTTGTTCTTACATATGAGGCGGTATTATAAATCATATAATAGTTCGTACAGAAAAGGGTGATATTTTTATGAAGTGCAAATGAAATATAATGAAAAAAACCCGTGGAATATGTTGACTGAATAGTTTGGTTTTTTTTTTTTATTATTATTCATTTTTTGCTCTCCACTAACAGATACGACAGTATATATATAGTACCTATATAGACAAACGGCCGATATATGGTATGAAATATTTCCCGAACGTGTTCAAAAACTGCTTTCCTTTGGGTAATATTCTAATTTTTTCCTACATAACACCATAAAAACCTTACAACAATCCTCCGACATTCTTTTATCGCCGGTTCGGTATATTTCTTTGCGTACAATACACGGATTTCAAGCTCAGCATTATCCATTATTTTTTTGTGAAGTTATTTTTTTTTTCCAAACGGATCGCATACCTATATATAAATCTTGGTGGCACAAGATATGGTTGAAATTTGAATATGTGTATATTTTTCGGTTTTATCTTTGCCGAAAAACAACAAAAAAACGTTTGATAGTTATCTTGGATAACCGCAGTACCTATATATATATATGGTGTATGATGTATAGGAATATTCATTAGAAACTTTGTGTTTATACACACGCATACGACATGATAATATCAAATAATTTTTGTTTAGATTTTCAAAATCAGTTTTATATATACAATAGTTGTACGCGTATAATTGTATATGTCTATTAGATGATAATATATATATATATATAATTAAACAAAATCCTTGTTTCAGCCGGTTTCGGGTCATCGTCAGAAACGGGCGGCGGTGGTGGAGAAGTCGACGAGGGGTCGTACTTGCCGGGTGGCGACACTCTCATGCACCCGGTGACGGCGTCCAGTCTGGACGCTCCCGTCCAACTTCCGATATTTCTCGAAGAGCCGATGGACGCGTACGTGATCAAAGGTAAACCAGCCGCCCTCACTTGCAGGGCTGCGCACGCGCTGACCGTGCACTTCCGGTGCAATGGCGACCGGATAGAAGACTCTATGGGTCCCGCGGTCACGGACTTCGTGGACCCGCAGACCGGCGTCCGGAACGTGGAGGCAATCGTCAATGTCACCAGGAACCACGTGGAGGAGTATTTCGGAAAGCACAACTACCAATGCCAGTGCGTGGCGTGGACTTCGCGCGGCGAGATTATCAGCAGACCAGCCAACGTGGTCGTGGCTTGTGAGTACTGCCATAATATTATAATATACTGGGCAGATATAACAATGTACTATAATTATATTGATCAGGTCAGGCGTAGTTGTAGGTTAGGTCAGGTCGTTCGTTCCGGTGCACACGGACCACCTCCAACATACTATATATAGGTAGGTAGAGGTTTGGTAGGTTTTATTTTACTCGAATCATATGCCTACGGCCGTTTTCGGAGGCAATTCGAGTACACTAGGTATATGGGTGCACTTGAACTGCATCCCATAATAATATAATAGCCACAACTGTATATTACATAGTATTATCCGATCATAGATTATTTAACGATTTTCGCAATAGATTAAATATTGTGCTAACTACATGGTTAGGTAAGACTAGAATACAATTTTTATTGATTTATTATTTGTTTGCTTGTATTTTTATAACAATAACATTTATTTCAGTTTATCCATTGAAGAATTAATTTATATATTATTAGTTATTACCAAAATATTATGTACCAATGAAGATTTCAGTAATGGAGGACAACTACTTGATGTAGGACTGACGGAAATAACTAATAAGAGTTGGAAATTCGAATCACACAAAAATAAAATAATATGTATATGGGAGTCAAATAGCGGGTCAGACCGGAACACGAGTGTGGGTTTCGTGAGCTTTCGCGGATCATTTTAGGACCGGAAATCGATGGAGCGTAGAGCCTCTGCTGTGACACAAAGTATATATATACTATACCTAGGGGGTACCTATTATATTTAGTAGGTATATATATATTATAATTAAGATTAATTCCCTCGCGTTCTGTTCGTGTGTGTGTGTTTTTTGCTATGCATATTATAATATGATATTATGTCACGGTTTTTTCAGCCAATATACGATTACAAACCGCCAGGTTCGATTTCATATTATATTATGTTTTTGTTATTTATTATCTTTTATGGTCTCCTCGTCGTATAGCTTCGCAGCTGCAATAATTATGACACGAACATGTACATTATGATTGTTTAAAATATGACTGGAATTTTTCGTTTTATCTAACTTTCCGTATACGCAAGTTGAAAGTATCTGGGTACGCGTATGTTATATACTTATAACGGACGATATACGAGTTACTTGCTAGAATAATGTTTTATACTGAAGCACGAAAAACGATTTTTTTTTTTAGAAACGATTATAGCGCGTATAACATATATATAATATGTGCATTGCGCGTATCAAATAACTGCAAATATACATTATAATATATAGTGTCAATTTGTTTTTATCGCGTGCGCACAAACGAGATGTATGTTCTCCGCAGTTCTCCTCAACAGATTGTCATGTCATATCGTACCGAAACTCGTGACTGCAAATATCCTCGGACACGCTTGCAGAAAGTATACGTATATAATAATATTAGTAGATATAATATACTCGTATATATGAGGAACCTACTATCGTCAAGTATATACCCTGCACAATGTAATAATAATATAATATATTATCAGTGAACACGGATTACTCGTCAAGATATATATACCTACTTATAGACTTATGATGCGAATGCTTTCTCTGTTCTGCACGTGGGTATATCATGTTATATATTATATTATTGTAATATGTTATGTGTTCTTTAACATGTACTAGGTATAATGTATACGTACTATTTTCTTTTCGATTCTCCTATACAAAGGTTTTCGCGAAAGGATTACGCGTCAAAGGTCTTAACGCGCGACGCGGAGAAGCTTTATTATAAATGGACGAGGATATTTTTTTCCGCCGTACCCCCTTCTCTCTCCCCCCTCCAATCACACTTACCACCATTAATATCGATTGGTTTGTTAAAATGCGTCCATGAGAAAGTTTGCACCATTTGTTGTCGTCGTCGCTTCGCCTCCCCGCCATACTGTCCTCAGCCAGCAGCCACCACCCGAAATCCGTTGAAAGCGATTTCCGAAACGAAAGACGAGTGTAGTCACAGCTGGTGTGTAATCTGCTTAAAAGTTAAGTCTTGTTTTCATTCGCCTACGTCGCGCGTACGCTGCGTATATTATAATACTAGTTGCTTGTACACACACGCATAAAATATATAAATGTATAACATATTATAATATTATAGGTATGGGTATGTGTTCAAACGCGTTACGGAAAACCACCGGCCGTTTAGACTTTTTCGCGGCACGTTATTGTCATAAACGCAATCCGTGCGGTTTAATATTCAAGCATTATATTACTATACAATAAATAGGTATAAGGTATATATACACCAACCCGACAACACTCATATTATACCGATTTACACGACATATATCGAAAACTTTTCGTGCCGTCAGGTTTTCAAACTGTATATAGATACCTATACAAATCAACGATGACTGTAGTTCCATATTAATAATGATAATATATTTCGTTTATGGTGCTGTAAACGTCCGTACATAAAATACTCATTATTTAATCGTTAAACATAATATAATAATATTACAATTAGTATGTACAAAACGGTATACGTATACGGTTTTCAATATCATACGGCACGAAATTCGTTAAATTACCCTTTTCGGTAATAATAATAATATATAATCGCCGACAGCGGCCTATAATAAGATGCGGTTAAATCGTGTGGAATACTAAGCGCCACCGTGACCAATCTTTGCATTATGATATTATTATTACGACGTCGAATATTATACGATACCAAAAGCCGCCGAAACGTTAACAATAATAATGTCATCATAATAATAGTGCATGGTGGAAAAATATACGATTTTTTTTATTCAAAATATTTTATATTTCAACAATATCATCATTCATCAATAATAATAATAATTTTCACGAAGGCTGATCGTCCGTGTACAAATATACAAATAAAACAATAGTCATTGTCAAGCGCATAAAACACTGTCGTTAAGCCACGATCAGACGACGGTGATGAATACTTAATGAGAATAAATAAATAAAGAATCGAATAACAGCCGCTGGCAGTCGGTATCCTTTGCGGGTGTATATTATATATAATGAAAAACAATAAAACCGTGTTTGGTCCAATTAAAAATGAAAACTTTGCTCGCGACTTTAGACGCGACATGCCGGCGTTAACGGATCGTCGGAACGGCCTTTGTTTTATCCAAAACGAACTTTCATCCGGCGCACCCGTGGCTGACTCCACCATATATATATATATATATATATTATTATGACGCCGCCGCTCATATCACTGGTCGACGTGAATGGGCGGCGAGCCGGGCACGAGCCGACATTTGTTTTTCGTATATATTTTATTATTTTTGCGGCCGATTAATGGCCGCATCGTTAGCGGTACAACTGAACTATTCCGATAACGGTTTTAATTACCATTTCCATACCCATCGTCCCGGGACGGTTTCTCTTCTTTATGACTCTCCGAAACTTTCGCGCGCGGCCGAGATTTATTGTTCTTTAAAATAAACCCAATAATATTTCTTCGGTTTTCGAGTGGTGGCGTTGGCATTTGCCGTTTTCCGTGAAATCATTTACGCACAACAAGAATATAATAATAATAATAATAATAGTAATAATAATATGCTCTTCAGCCCTTATTGCAGATCTCTTCGGAAAATGGGGCGATAATGGCGAAAAAAACTGACAGTTTTGACGTTGTATTTTTTCTGAATGGTCGCGGTGAATAAAGACGGCCGGAGTAATTCCTTTGGAATATTTTTTTTCGCTCGCCAAAGCCTCAGTGTCTTTATTTTTAAATCTTATCTTATTTATTGTAGAATATAAAATATAACATCGCATTATTCTTATTTTATGACAGGCGGACGATTACTTACGATTTTAACTTGTTATTCGTCTTAAATTCGTACCTGTATAGTTATTTTCATACCTACTACCACTAGAATCGAATATCGTTAAAAGAAGAGAAGGATAATTTTTTATTTTATATTAATTATATTTAATTATCTCAAACAATGAAACTCATTATCATAATGATACCATCATCAAATTTAAATAATATATATGTGTATGCGACACAATAGCTGTTTTCGCAAAACTCAATTATTAAATAACATTACCTGAGCCCCTATTAACAATATATTTACCAAATTGCAGGTTTGTGCATTGAAAATATGAATTTAATTTAAAGGCATCAAATTCCTACCTTTGAGTTCATTTTATCGCCACTCGTTTCAACGTTATTGTTTTTTAATTCAAACAAAAATTACAATTCATTTAACTGCTGTTTATTCAAGTCTTTGTTGTTTTTTTATTTATAGTTTCATTAAAAAAATATACGTCACACAATGTTTGTGTCCGTCCAAAGACTTTAGGTACATATGAAATCTGATAGTGCACATGTGCCAATCGAATCGTACCCATAAAACCATGTGATGTGAATCACCCTTGTTTGTGAATCGTGATCAAGTGGTAGTTTGCGATTTGTCGAGTGTACACCTCGTATTTTGGCTGCCCTTACGGACGCAAATTAGACCGGCGATAATTTCGCAACGATTTGTGTGAAGGGACTAACAGTTTTTGTCACGTACGTGTTCGTGCTTTTCGCGTGACAGTTGACATTTCTAGTATAAAGGATAAAAAAAAAAAAAGAAAACCAAAGAGTCAGTCGCAGCTGGACGCATTCGGTCCCTTTCAATAATCGTCGGGGTGTAGGAGGGTAAAAATTCGGCCACGTCAAAAGACCAGACCAGCGGGGTGCCCTAATAACTAACCATAAACCTCATTTCCATCATAATGAATACGCGATCCCTGGCATGACCGCGTGCTGCCTGCAGAAATCATTAGACGGTCAATAGTGGCAATAATAATAATTAGAGAATCAGCCCAATTATTACAAAGGTTTGAATTTTGTCGGTTTACCCCCTATTGGTCAAACCATAAATAATTTACAAAACGCTTAGATTCCTTTGCATTGTCATAAACACTCCAAAATCACTCATATTCAGTTATAACTGAATATCTCTAGTAAATAATAATACATAATATATACCTATTATCTATATATTCAAAAACTTTTTTACGTGATGATATGCGTT